TTTCTATCGTCGCGGGCTATCGCTGAAAGAGACAAATGGCTGGGTCTTTTCGCGTCGGTTTTCGAATTCTCAACTTGCTCTATCGGAAACCCCGCGGTTCTAGTCGTCGGTTTCTCCAGGAACCGTATGCCGCCGCCACGGCCGCTGCTGCCTCCACCGAGAGTAGCGGCGGCAGCAGCGGCAGCGTTCCTGACCAGCGTTTCCGCAGTGTGAGAGTCGCAGGACAGCGGTCTTTCCGTGTTATGGGGCAGAAGGTCCTTCTGAACAAAACCCCGAGACCCTAATCGCTTGACATGAATCCTTAATCGAGTATTCGGTCGAGTTCGTTATGATTTGGTTCTGGTCCCGTCTTAGACATGCAGCGCCACCTGGTGGCGCTTCGAAAAGCTTTCACTTTTTCGGATATGGCTTGTGATAGTGAACGGTGGCGGCTCCGATACCGACGGCGACGTCGCTCGGCGCTGACATCTATCCTAAGAATTCGAAGAAGCGTTAGCGGTAACTGAGGAGAGCCGCACTCGACGCGCGCTCTTGCCAGGCCCGAATGCCGGCTTTGCGCGAAGTTTTTTGGATTTTCAGAGAGTTTTGCCTCCCTCTGCACCGCTCGTGAATCTCCGAATCCGAACGAAGCAGCGAGCGAACGGTAACTAGAGAGTTTGCCGATCGTGCATCTGTGCGAGTTCTGAGCTTGCCTTCTGCCGCTACCGTAATTGTCAGTTTACCACCTGAGTCAGTCCGCTCAGAAGTCGACTAAATGACTGGCTTGCCAAGTTACATACCCGCTGACTGGATGACTGACGAGAGCAGCCATCAGATAATGTCCGGGTAAATGTCTCAAACGACGATTCGGGGAACTCGAGGAGAGAATTGAGATTAGGGACATTTTTCAAAGGAAAGAGAAAATGCCATAACGAACAAGTGGAAGTCTCCGAAGCGAGGGAGTTTCTGTGAGTCGAGCCGAATGAAGCTCTCGGACGCCTATCGACTTAGCGGGTTATGGGCGGTGGTTGCTAAGTCGACGGTAGCTTTCTGTGAATGGTAGAGATTTGTTTGCTCTTTTACCGTTCTGAGAACTCTTTCTCTGTTGTGAGTCATGCTTCTCCGTCTGTGCGTGCGTCCATCTGTCTATTCGTTTCTCCATGCGATCCGTCCGGGTGGCGGTAGTGGTAACGGCAGCGACGGCGAACTGGCGGTCAAGCGATCGCGCGGCCAGAAAACCACTGACGGACGAAGCAAGGATCGCTCGTCGTACTGAATGAATCGAATATACTACAGAAATACAACCACGCAGGAACGTGTGCGCAAGTATCTGGAGAAAAAGCCTGTTCATCAATCGTAGCTCGGGCTTCCTACCGGCTCGAGAGTTTCTCTCGACCTAGCTCAATTTCGAGACCGACGTTGTCAACAAGTTCTCTTGTTGTACTCTCCCGACGGCGAAACAGCGATCTCCGATAAGCCCTCCCGGTGGCCGTGAAAATTAATTCCTACGTTGACGCAAATCGCGTATCCCCCCCCCCCCCACTGATCAGAAGTCCTCCGGTTTGGATTTTTCTCGTTCTGGAGGTCGGACAGATTCCGGATCGTAGCAGGTCCGCGAACGTACGAGGATTTCACTCCCGGCGAGGATATCGGTACATGTTTTTTTTTGCTTCCACGAATCTTGGTCTATTGGCCCGAGTTTCCTCATTGGCGTTCTTCAGTCACGCTTTTCCGCAATCCATGGCGGAAAAATTCAGCCGGAATGACAGCTTAAGCTTTTCATGACACAACTTTCACTCGCGCGCGCGGTTAGACGCGCTGCCCCGGCAGCATGAGATTCGAGTGTCTGCCAGTAATGACTGGCTGCCACTGTTGCTTCACTCCGACCGGAGCTTGGACTACGCATACGGATCGTCGTACCTATAGAATCTATCCCCGCGCACGGTGATTCGCTCGGAGCCCGACTTGCGCGGGAATAAGGCTCCGACGACGACGTGAGGAATATCGAAAGCGACGCCGACTTTTTCGAGTATCCTATCGACCCGCTAGCACGAGCCCGGCTCTTTCTGTGATTCTCATCCGGCACAATTTTTCCTAGCAAAATAAACGAAGTAATCCGACGGGAAGACATCGCGCCATCGCGCAGAAGGAGAGCCGGCCGGCCGGTGTTCGACTGGCTCTCCAGGCAGGCATGATGCGCGCCGTTCGAATGCCTTGCTCGCTAGCCGGCTATTCCGCCAGAAAGCGAGGCAGACAGGCACCCGGCAGGCAACCGACCCTCCGGCCAGCCACTCAGCCAGCCGTCTAGTAACCCTGCTGCCTGCCTGCCTTCTTTCCGATCAACCAATCGCGGGCCTTACATTGTCTCTCGCCTCTCCAGCCACGTCACCGAGCCGCGACGCGGCGAACTAGATCCGCGGGCCCAGGTTGTGCTTTGCGGATTCTCGCAATGACACGCTTGAAATTCTACATCAATCGAATTGTCGGAGGCTTCTGACTCGATTTGCTGCGTGACCGGGCTCGAAAAACGCTTATTTCGAATTGGAGTACGCCGTCAGCGGCAAAAGTGGCGAGGGCTCCACCACGGGCCGGTTGGTATTTTGAGTGGCGGTCGCGGCGGCAAGCTCTTCATTCTCGGCCTGGCCGTCGTTCGTCTCGTTGGTCGTCCGTCGTCGTCGCTTCCGTCGTCGTCGTTGTCGTCATCATCGTTGTTGTTGTGTGCGTGCTGTGCGCCAAGTCGCCGCCGCTGCTACAGTTGCCGCGACCGCCATCATCTCCACAAGCATCTCTACCAACAAGGATCGGTAGCTACTGCAGTCAAAGCAGTATTACTACCACGACCAATAATACGGCCGCCGCCGCTGCTGCTGCCGTCGGTGAGAGCCGGCACGACGATCAACACAGTCGCCGGTCTCTCTACTAGCGGCGGTCCATCTTGCGCAGCCTGGTTCTGCCGGTTGCTAATCGGTCGGTCGGTCGGTCATTCAGTCAGTCAGTGGATCTGACGGACGTACGGTCGAACCGTGAGACGGTCTCTCGGCAGCGTCTTGCACCGATTGCCCTGTGGTACCCGGTGTCGAGACCGGAAAGGTCAGACAGAGCGTCGAATCTGGAATAAAGTTGATTCACCGTGTGGACTTGAACAATTACCGAAGGACCTAGAGTTTGTGAGAAACGACAAGTTTCGATAGACTGCCTAACGGATTACGTTGAACTCATTCTCCGGAGGGAAACCGCCGGATTGATACCGTGACTGATTTGTTGGTGGTTTATTTGTTCGTCGATTCTATTTGTTTGTTACGTGAAGTTACATACAGAGGTTGACAACGACAACCACCACCTTCTCCGCATCGACATCGCTGCAAACTCGCCCGCTGGATATTGTGTTAGTGTTACAGCTGTTACAGCTGTTGTTGCCCTCACCGTCGTCGTCGCCGTCAGTGTGAATGTTGTTATTGTTGTCGTGGTGAGCATCCTCTTCACCGAAATCATCATCTCGGTTGTTGTCCTCCTCCTTGTCTCGCTTGTCGCCGTCGCCAGGCACGTTTTTGCGTATTATTTTTGCGTCAGTGTTACGGTGCATCTGGGCGCCTCGGTTCGCATGCGAGCCTCGGGAGCGGCAGGCTGACATTTGGCTCCGAAGGAGTGAGTTCGGCGAATCTTATCGCGAACCCGCGTTGGAATGTCTCGCCGACGATGAAGTGCTCTCCCCGTTGGCGCGTTAGACGCTAAGCGTCAAGAATTCCGCCGGGGAGAGGAAACGCTAAGCATGAACTCACACCGTTGATTTCGCTCGTTTACAGCCGGGAACACCTATGAAAAGTGAACGAAGACGTTTTTGTTTCCGTCGGAGATTGTCTTCCGCCCGCTAGGATCCCGCAATGACTGTTGTCTCTTCACGCCATATGTTATCTCGACGTCATGATTTTCCTCGATATCGTTCCTTCAGCGTCATCGCCACGATTGAATTAGGCTTCGCTGTGAGCTGTTGCGGTTTCGAGAGTTTGATCGAACTCGACAATTTTAAGCTAAAAATTCTCTGTCGTGGTCCGCTCATGTTGTTCGCCCGAGCGGATGAGCACTTCGGGTGCGCGGTCTTTTCCTGAGGCTTTCCGCGCACTCCTCTCGGTCTGGAGTCGCTGCTCACTCGTCAGAGGACCTGCGCTCGCTCGCTCAGCTCAGAAAGAGAGCCGCGCCGATGTCGTTCATGAGCTCAGAATTTTGCGTCCCCGAGTTTGGAAAAGCTGTCTTTGAACTCGTGCTTGGAGTGTCACGAGAAGCATCTTCTTCATCTGCTAGCATATGTCCCGGTGGCCCGGGCCGTCGCTGATCGCCGGCCGGCCGGTGGCTCATTCAACGGCGCGGCGTGGCGCCAGTGTTGCCTGCTGTCGCTCTGAGCCACCACCACCAGAAAGCCCGCTCGTGTGCCGTGCGCCGCTAAAGCACCCTGAGAAAAATGAGAAAGAGTCGAACGAACGGTGGCGCCCCCCAGCGGCGATTTAGTGAACGACAGTTCACTTGCTGACTGGACGGCCGGGAGACATGACTGAATTCTGGGATCGTCGCACATTTCGTTCAATATCGCGAAATGAAGCGGATATTTTTGCGCTCAATAGACAGCAACGGCACCGTAACGGTTGAAGCTCATCGTGCCATAAGTCTGGCTTTCGGCAGAGATTGGCATCTGGGTGGATTGCTTTATGTCTCCATTTCGCTGCTTGAGCCGATCCAACGACGCTGAAAAGTCCGGGCCGATCGCTGACCGACTTGATATAAGGTCTTCGGAATATCGAATTTATCTATGAGAACCGCGAGAAATTCGAGCGATCGCACAAGCGTGGGAATATTCGAGAATTTTCGGATGTCGTCGTTGACTCGTTCTCGACGTAGCCGCATCGATGGTCGAGTTCCCACATGTTTCGGACGGTGTGTGGTCGCCCATTGGTCTCTATGACGATCGAAACCAGCGAGGGACAAGAACCTGATGTTGCAGAATGCATGCGATCATATTTCGGTGTAGAATGGATGCTGAAATACCGCAAGGTATCACCGCTGACTCAATGCAATACAATGCTTGCCCATTATCGCGGATCGAATTGCCGCGAACCGCGTTTATCTGAATCTGTGTGGTCGTTTGTGCGAACGGCGAAGTCCTCTCCAAACGTAAGTTGGAACGTTTCGAGTATGTTACTAATTCCGGTATCGATTCTTTCCCGTTTCAGCAGACCCTGTTCCATCGATGAATTGCTCGCGGACATTCACGTCGGGACAGTGACAGATCAATCAGCTTCAGAAGAAGATTTCTATATCGGTGCCCTGGACGACAGCGCCCGATATAACTCTGAAAGTGACGGCAGGAACAACAGTAGCAACGACGCTCAAAATATGATTCAAGCAGCAAAGAACGACCTCTTCATCGGTCAGAACGCAGCTATGGACGATGAATGGCCCAACAACTCGCTCCCGACACCCCCGCGGTCGCCGGACAACAGCTCAAACGCTTTCGATGATGAACTCAGATATCACTTCGAGGAGTTGATCGGGGACGCAGAGGCCCTCGACCTCCTCGAGGATATGGAGCTCGATTTGCATCCGATCGTAGACGACCTCTTGCTGAATGGCCTGCATGGTCCGAACCAGGACCCGACGCCGGAGAACGCCATCGGCTCAGAGGTTCGCCACGATTGCATGTGGTCTGGAAAGTGCGATGCCTCCTGCAAGCAACGCGTTCGCTACTCGTCAGAGAACTCAGACATCCAGCTGTTGACGCCTGCATCGTCGCCGCTCAGAACGAGTGGACTGGCTATCTTGACCGTGGCGTCGGGAGCCGTCGACGACTTCGTTGATCCATCAGCCGTGATGAGCTACACACCGCACGCGGACCACAGCTACTATCAGCCCGAAGTGGATCATCAGGCTGTTGATATGATCGCCGTTCCTCAGATCACCGTCGCCACTCCAGTCAATGCGACTGCGAAGAGCATATGGCCCGAAGAACCATCGTCATACGATCTCTCGGACTCCTCATCCTCATCGCTATCTGGTGAGTTGTCCTCCTCGATTCTTTCGTAGCGCTACATGGGTGTCGATCCGACGTACGGATTCCCTTCCCCTTCCCTTTTCCGTAGTATATCGTATCGAGTGATTTGCCGGGACGCTGTATATTTTATATGTCTCTTGTGCCAAGACATGCCCGCAAATTTCTCATAAATCTGTCTAGCGAATAATTTCCGAAGATGAATGTCGCATTTAGCCGCGGTGCATTCGTCCCGCGTGAGTGACAGTTCAAGTTCAAGTTCAATGAGGGGGAGGGCGAGTCCATTCGCTTTGAACACTTTCGTATTGAATCATAGTTAGCTGGTTGCGGACCGAGGAGAATCGGGGAGAACAAAATGGTGAAAGTGGCTGGCTACACGAACAGATTTTCTGGCTCAGTCAGACTTGCCTGCCGCCTGCCGGTCCGGCTGCTCGAGTGAGTGAATGTCGCTTCTTCTTTTGAGGCGACTGACGGGGGGCACCACGATACAGTCGCTCTGGCTGCTGCTGAAGCAGCTTCGACTGCAGGAGCAACGAGAACGCATCGGCTGATTAGTCGGTTAGCGTTAGCAACAGCAGGAGCTGGATTGAGCAGCGACCAACTAACAAGGAGTCCGACGGACCGAGCAACAAATCAAGAAAGCTCGCGCACACCAGGATCTTCGATCGATTCATTTACGGCGAGAGGCCTGGAGTCCTTTCCTCGGACTCCTGCTCTTCTCCCTTAGGGTGGTTGGTATTCATGGGCGAGCATATTTCACCGAATTTCGTACGGCAGAGAACTCTCGCGCTGGGCTCAATAGACAGAGATTGAGTGGATGTCGCAGTGAGACTTTCTCTCCATTCCATGGGTGGCTGCTCATTCGTTTCGTTCCGGAAAATAGCCGGTGCATTTGCAATTAGAACGGGTGTTCAGGGTCGCGGAGAAGAAGCGATTCTCGGAGTATCGCGCATCGATGAATAAATTCATCGATCGGAGCCTTTCGTCGACGATTTCGTGCCACCCCTCCCCTTCTACCCCGTTCATCGATGCCGTTCCCAATCGCTTTTATTCAGGGCGAGTCGGGAGCGAACGCCTCAGTAAACTTTCTCTTCTTGCGACGACAGTTCGAAAGAAATGAAGGAATAGGACGAATACCATTCGTACGCAATCGACCCCGGCCCGCGAGCGAGGAGAGAGCTCGCGAAGGCCTATCGAACGAATGAGATGGACGCACAGGAGAAGAAGTGTCGGAGATTCGAAATCGTTTCGAGTCTCTGATAGGGAACTCACTTCACCCAACTGTTCATTCGACTACCTATCTGTCTCGCAGTCGGTCGGTCTGCTTGTCTGTCTGTCTGTCTGTCAGCCGGATCATGGGTCGATAATGGAGATGAGGTGCCGATGAACATTGCGAGTGACCGGCTGCAATAGCGGAAGCGAGTTATTCTCGGAGATCTCCATCGGTTTCTCCGTGCTCTCGTCTTCCCTCCCATTTGCTGCTGCTGCCGCGGCGACGACGACCGCCGATGACGACGGAAGCGGCATCGGCAGCGACGTCGACGACCATCGGAGTTCGATTGGGGAGAAACTTGAAGGGAAAGGAATTCAAGCTCTGCTTTGGACGAGACGGGCAGGCAGGGCGACCGACCGACCAAAGAAAGAAAATGAGGGAACGCATGTGTTTTTAATTGAACCGACAGAACGCGGGATACAGCACTGCGCGGTCCTCTCTCACAAGTAGCACCACTGCTGGCTGTCGCCTCCTCCGAAACCACCCAGACCACCGCCACCACTACCACCCAAGCCGAACGACAGCAGCTGATGATGTGGCGGCAGTTGTCCATCAGCTGCTAAAAGCACCACCAGTCGACTGAGTCGGGGGCCAAGCAGACTCCGAACGAGTAGCGGATGGAAGCCGCGACTTCCGTACTCCTATTGTCGTTAAGTGACTCTATCGCTCGTTTTGTCAACCGAACCCCGGTCTGGTGTTCATCTCTGACTGAGCGTCCTCCGCGTATGCAGGGAGCCAGACCGCGCCGTCGGATTCGAAGCGAGTTCTCCTTCAGCGGACGATTGAAGTCCACGCGAGGGCTGTCATCGCTGAGACGCAGACGCGGCGGCTACCGTGCTGGCTATTCCTCGAGCTCACCGACTGAGCGACGGACGACGTTTTGTCCGTCTCTCAGTCCAACGTAATACTACCTCCGATTGGACATCATCCACGGGCGATTAGAAGTCGGGCGGAGTGCCCCCTGGTGCTTGCGCGGAAGCGAACGCGGGCGTCCGATCGGCCGGACCCGCGATGGCATTTGGGTACGGCGATTACCTGGCTCCCGTTCCGCTGAATTTATAATTTCCTATGCCCATCTGGGTCTCTCCATTCCGTGGCATGAAGGTGTCGGATCTGCTCTCCCACGCAGGAGTTAACCGGGTGGGGAGGAAGGACGGGCAGTCAATCGGATGAGCGAGCGAGCGGGCTGGTGTGCATGGAGACGATAGGTAACCGGCCGCCAGACAGGTAAACGACTCTGCTCAAGGTCAGCGAGTCCTGCTGCCATCGGATGGCTGCAGCGAGTCTGCTGCCGGAGTCAAGCATCCGTTCTTCTCACTTGCTCGCCGATTGAATCGGTCACTTAGTCAGTCAGTCAGCCAGCCAGCCAGCGAGCGAGTGAGCGGGGTTTGACGTTTGTTCAGAAGACAGCCGTCACTTTGCTTCAGACAACGCGTCAAAGGCGACTGGTCGGATTAGCGAACATCGACGACATGAACAGCAACAACAGCCCGTGTTTTGGTACTTCTTCGTTTCTCCCTCCCGTCGTCAGTGCTCCGATTCGGGATGAGCGCAATAAGACAGACTGAATAGGAAAAAAAAACACGGGAAGGACTTGAAAAAATCAAGAGATGAACTAGTGATTTGTGATGTCAAGGGGCTATCGTCGGATTGTTGTTGATCCAACTCGGCTGCGGGACGAGTTGCTCTCTCGTCAGTCGGCAAGGAACAACTGCCAACCAGTTTCTTCTTGCTCTGAGTTCTCGGCTGCAGCTTGTAACGAGCTTTGTTTCTCCTCGGCGTGTCTCTTAAACGACGGAAATTAGATGATTTATGCTTTTGCTGCGTGATTCTCGCCTCTGGATTAGAGCGAACCTCACACACTCGCTCGTAGTCACAGATAGTGGAAGGCATTCGAGTGTTACAGAAAAGGAAGGAGCAAATATGAGGTGCTCCCATGATGACGATGGCGACAATTATCAGGGACGATGTTCTTCATGAATGTTCGTCGCAGCTGAGAAACTAAGCTTCTTTCCCCTTTTCCTCCCGACGAAGCGGTAAAGATCCGCCGGCCGTCAGCTCGAGACGTGCTGCTGTCGAAAGTGTCCCGCTGCGTTCCGTTGCTCTTGTCTTTGGGGTGCTGATTCGGACGACAACGAGCGCTGAGATTCTCACTCGCTCGGCTCGGTCTTCCCGTGATGCTCAAGAGGCACGCGTCGCACATGAACGACACATTGATTCACATGGCCAACGCTGAGGCCACAGACGCCTGATTCCTCCCTCCCCCCTCTCTCGCGTCCTCCCTCTGGCCATCCTTGCTCCTACGGAGTATGCTGCTGCGCAACAACGAGCGCGCTCGCAGTCACAAGTGACAGAGAAGATGAAGGAAAAGAATAATAATGATGAGCGAGAGGAAGAGAAACAAATCATGCTTCAAGAGGGTCTGTCGGCCGAAAGACATCCGCCGGGATGGACATGTCGCATGCCATGGGAAGTCGCAGGCCTCAATGTTCCCTCCAATCTCGAACGTACAGAAGACAAATATCATCGAGGTCATACTGTCGTTCCTCCCCGGCAGCTCTCTTATCTGATCTCGAGGGTCCCGCTTTCGTTCGGAGCGGCTCTTCAGAGAGAGAGAGGGAGGGAAGGACTGAGAGTTGGAGGAGAAGTTGTTGCGCGACCGATCAACCACGAAATATCGCCACTCGACTAGGGCGCTCACTTCCGTTGCAAACTCTTGTGTCGTTAGCTCATAGGGCGTTCTCTCCAGCTTTCGGAATGGACTTCAAACAGGAAGGCCGCATCGGCCCGACCTGGGATTCCATGCTGCGACATGACGGGACTCGATGGCCGCGGCATGAAATTTCGCAGGGTGCACGCATGCTCGAGAAAGCCACGAGTCGCTCGCCTGCCATTTCGGGTCTGGCTGGCTGAGTGGCGAGCTGGATGGCTGACTGGTTCAGTCACTCGGTCTTGGGTTGTTCCAAAAATAAATTTTCCCCACCTTGTCTCTTCCCCTCACCGGGCGGATGAGTGACTCGATGGATGGCAGCCTTAAGCAGAGGAAAAGGAAGATTGCTAAAATAAGGCAGAGGAAGATAAAGCAGGAATACCATCGAATGAGAAGGGCATCGGCTGCCGAATCTTACTGCCTGGCGAGATGCTCCTTTCTCGCTCACTCGTTCGTTCGCTCGCGGGCTGGCTGGCTGGCTGGCTGGCTGGCTGGCGGGAATCCGTCTTCGGCTTCACCGCAGAGCGGAATGGTTGACAAATGACAACACTCGCGACAACAGCAGCCTAGCATACGGAGACGGAGCATTCGAACGAGCCCAAGTCGAATCAACACAATAGGGTCTAAAAAATACGAACAACTCCACGCGAAGAGAACAAACGGGAGGAAAGAAAAACAAGAAGGATGTAGCGCGTAGATCGAGGAGTGATTGAGAAGGTATGCACGAGCGCGCCGTCTGCTAAGCAGAATACCATGAGTCTTAGACCCGGGCTTGTTGATTATTCGTGATGATAACGCGGGCGGGCTACTCCTGGTTGTGCATGCGAAGCGCCTGGCTAATCCGGGACGGACAACTCAGCGTCGGAGGTTTCGATATTCAGACGGTCGGTCGGAGACTCTAGTTCACAGGCGAAGAGAATTCTGCTTAGGACGGCTCGATTAAATAAAATATAGTCCGCTCTTGTCTTGCAGACGAGTCCGAAGAGACCGAGTCTGAGACCATCGAAGACGAGGAGGAGATCGATGTCGTATCGGTGCAGTCGGCCCCCGTACGAGCTCACCAGAGGAGCCTGGCGGCGCACGCTGCCTCCTCGCAGCGCTCGCTGCTCAAGTCGAAGAACTTGCAGAAGGCTGCGGCTCACAAGCAGAGGAAGCAGAAGGCTTCGGCTTCGGCCCCAGCGACGCCGTATCTTCTCACTCCGGTGCAGAGCCCTCAGCCCAGCAATCCTGCCGGACCCGTCGAGTACCCCATGCCCAAGGTAAGAGGCTCCCTGTCTCTGTTCTCGCTCAATTTTTTTCAATTTCCTTCCATTCTGCTCCTCAGACTCTTCATGGATCTGGCATTTATTTTCGCGGTCAGAGTTGCTTTTTGTCGGCCGAGATAGGGTCTCGGACAGAAGACGCGACTAGACGCTTATCTGTGAATTGAAAAATACCGAGAAGATTGAGGCAGGGGAGGATGCAGCTCAATGTTATCGGCGGACATTAACGGGGCTCTTGTTATCTCTGTGAATTTTAGGTGACGTCTTCAGGCCGAATCGTGCAGCCCACGAACCGAAGCGCGTCGTTCCTTGAGGCTCAGCCCCAGCACTCCTCGCGAAATGGCGGCGACCACCACCGCAGAAAACGAAAGAGCGACCACGCCGCGCCCAGCAGTCGGTCGAAAGCGAGCAGAACCAACAGCTCGACGAGCCGAGTTTCGGACGTCGAGGACCCCGAGAAGCGGAGAGAGCACAACTCCATGGAGCGCAAGCGGAGAGACGACCTGAGGTCAGTATCGAATCACCTCACCGACGATTTCTCGAAGAAGGGGACGTGAGTCTTCGGGGTGTAGGCGATTATTCGATCCATTGAGAGGAATTCCGAAAAATTCCCTCGTCCCACAGATCGGCTTTCCAACGGCTACGCGAGCTCGTGCCCGAAGTATCAAACTCGCCGAAAGCCGCCAAAGTCGTCATCCTCGCCAAGGCTGCTGAGTACTCCCGACGACTCCAGCAGGATCTGAAGAGCGCTGAGACGCAGAAGAAACTCGCCGCCGAACGAAACAAGCGGCTCCAACAGACCCTCAACCTGCTCCGACAACAACATCTGCAGCCACAACATCAGCAGCGTAGCAGTAGCCTGAGTCTCAACACGATGCGATCAGTGCCGGTGTAAGGAGAGAAAGGCTAGATGTTGTCTCTTTTCGTAGAACATTATCACTTTCATCACTATTATTACTATTATCACTATCATTATTATCACTACCTGATCATATTTCGGCTCGGCATTTTTTTCCTCTCATTTACCCGATCACCAAACGGTCATTGTAATTATTAGTTGGTTTGCGCGCGCCCTGCTGGTTCATAGTGAGTTAGGCGGAGGATGCAGATGATCTACGCTGTTGTATGTTGCTACAAGACCGTGGCGGAGAAAACAAATTACAGCAAGCTGTCCCGACCGGCATAGCTTTACGTTGGTTGAGAGGGGGCTCACGAACCGTACGAGTGCGGAATTTTTCCTACGAGCTGCTTCTTTTGCTCAGCCGAGGAACAGTAACGCTCAATCGTTTCCCCCAGGACGGAGTGAAAGGGTGTGTATAGAGGAGGGATTGACAATTGAGGGACGGACACGCTTGCGTTCGCGGCCTCGGAACGCTTGAGTCCACTCAAGTAGGTCAGCAACGAGAAATTTCTGTTGGCTCACAACGCGGTGGGAAAATCTGCATTCTTCCTCGGCCTCTGTCGTCCCGTATATAACTTCTGTACATTTGTTGTGGACGCCGGACCGGTCGATCATAATAGAGCGTAATAGCGACGAACATAAACATACATACATATTCTCTGGAGAGACACAAAAACCCGCGATCGCGCATGCACGCGGGCGTGTAGTAATTGATGGAAAGCTTTATCGACTAATCCATGCTCGCGTGAGCGGTGTTAAGCCGAGCGATGACTGCTAAACTCACTGGCGGAAATATTGACGCGTGCGTCCTCCAAGATTGACGCGCAGACGGGCCGATCGATTCATGCGTCCATCCATTCATCTATCGCTCGATTGATCGATTGATTGATCGGTCGCTCGGCTGGTTGGTCAATCGGTCGCTCGGTCCGTTCGTCGGTCGCTCGCTCAGAGCATAGGTGATAAAGAACATCGATGGACGCTGATGCGTGTCGCCGTGCGCCTTCGGAGGACAGCGGGAGAAAAACACTGACCGCGAGTGGACAGTTCCGCGTACGAGTTGCTGTAGCGTGATACGCTTCTGCGGCATTTCACAGCTTCTTCTAGAGAGCGCGAACGGCGGACGGCAATCGATCTTTGATCCCTTCATCCGATCGATCGTCTGGAACGTCACGCAGCTGTAGATAATCGTAGATTGTTGAAATCCTCCATCTATCAAGCGTACTTCACCGTATACCGGATAGCCGATCATGGAATCGAATGCGCCGACTGACCCGGCATGGATCATCCCTTGATTCTTCTCCCAACACGGAAGCTTCCACGGAATCTCGCAAGTAGGCGAAGTTCGGCTTTTCGACGAACCGAGGCGAGCGGTATAGCTCGATTTCCCCCCCCCCTTCCTTCCCTCTGTTTCCGTCAAGGCAGCGGAAATCGCGCGAGACTTTTTTTTTACTCGTTTACGACAAAGATTGTGGTAAACGAACGCCGAATTCCGACCAAGGGAGTTACGGTCTTCAAATTTTGTGGAATCTTGTTTTCCTGGAATACAGAAATCCGAACCAATGGATTCCGATCCTTCCCACGATAAGAGCTCGGGGGTTTCGCTGCTCAGCGAACGTACAGATGTGACGACGATCGGATCTTCATTTTTTATTTATCTTTCCGCGGAAAGCGCTGATTTATTCGTTTCGAGTGCTTTCAAGCAAGACCCCGGTCAATCTAGACGATGACGCCTGTCTGCTCCTACGTGAGCCTTCAGACCACGAGTCTGCCACATGAGGCATTAGTCTCGAACCCCCTCCTAGACGGAGAAGATCCAGAACATGAGGGTCGACATGCGAGTCAGCATTCTGCGAGACCCCAAAACTTGCTCATTATGAGTTGGTCAGAGACCCCTCGGGAGAAAGAGGACATTGATCGTCTATCCAAGAGGTGAATTGAGAGATGGATCGGTTCCTCAAGCCGTCGAGAGAACTCGAGAGGGCAACTGAGCGAATGACCCGCATGCGAATTAAGTGAGATCATTGCGAACTGCGCCTTCAGAATGAGAGAGGTTACGGTGTCTAGTTAGGCTAACTACATGCTTTTCGATGAGGATAATGATAATAATGATATATAATCTATGAAATATTCTAGTTTGTACATATGACAAATGATGCTAGGCTTTTTCAAGTTTCCCAATTATGCTGCTGCGACAGTCTTGTTTTGTTCCGCCAGACCAGAGAGTGAAATTCTCTCTCCTTGCCTCCCATCTCGGCGATACGGCTGCTGCCACCCTCGACAAGACCTTGTCCGAGCTGATTGACTGAGTCGAAGCACGCCTTTTGGTCAATCTGAAATGAGACAGACAGGGCAACTCATGTTCGAGTCAAGGCTGCATGCATAGCGTGAGCGACATTGCACGAGATGGAGGGGAAGGCGAGGAGAAACAGCTGAACGGTCGAGCGTACAGACGGCACAGCAAGCAGCGAAACCCAGCGGGGCGCGAACCGTATACATATTTGTATACATAGAATGTACATACAACCAGTATACATCAACAGCAAGCAGACACCAATATAAAAGGATGCGACAACAACAAATGCCACCATCACAACTGATACGATACAATTACCATCGAGCAAAGCGATCACGTCACCATCGCTCTCATGGCTTGATCGAATGATGATGGTGATGGAGAAGTCTTTGATGAAGACGTTGGCTGCGGTCAGGTAGACAGCGGTTCTGAGCCTTGCCGTGACTGTTCATTACCACCGCGAGGAGCGACCTCTTCATCGGCATTGTCGTGCGCGCTGTCACGTGCCGACGAAAAAAACGCAAACATTAACAGCTGAGGAGACAGCAAGCAACTCGAAGAACTTCTAATCAAGTAAAACAACAGCAGAGTACATTAATACCACCATGCTATCATCATTTCAACAACAACAACAACGACAACAACAACAACAACCAGAAGAAGATGAAAAACAACAACAACAACAACTATAACTATTACTACTGCTATTATCTACTACTACAACAACTACTACTATAACTACTACTACTATTACAAATGAAAAAAAACACAACAGCAGCATCAACAATTACGGATACCATCCAGCCTACGCTCTGCCTGTGCTGCCTGGGTCTTTTATCGCGTGCCTTAAAGTGTGTGCGTGACAGTGTGTCCATGGAACCGGCCGTGTTTGCGCCGCGGTGAAAGCTCGAAAAAATCTCTCGAAAGTGAAGTTCTTCTTTCGATCAGTGCCAGTAGACAACTTTTGAATTTCATTGAACTCTCCCCTGTCCTCTCCGGGGGCACTTCACTGCCGCTCGGTTCTTGAAGCTCGAGAGAGGCGAATCGGACAAACGAACACACGAGAGACAGGTGGTAAAGAATCCAAGAAACAGAAAAGACGACGAGGCGAATCCAACAGGAGCAGACAGCAAGCTCGCCGCATTTGCTACTGCTCATATCTCTCATGCTAAATGTGCATTAAGATATTCTATTACACATTATATTCTATACATTTATGATATATCATAATTATAAGAAAATATCTTCTCCGAAAAAAACAACCGAGAGGGTCGGACGACGCCCATGAAAGAAGCTGGCTGATTGGTTCACCGATTATTTTCCTTCCGTTCGTCACGTCCTGTCACGTGCAAGTCGCGCGGACGACAGCTTTGTTCTGCGCATTCTTCTTCTCGGTCAGTAGGCCTTATCGGAGGAAATTCATGAAAACACCGATCGCCCGATCGATTGATCGATGACGATCACGATGACTTGATGTCAGCGCAAAAAAAATACGATCCTGGAGACTCACGGCTGGGAAAGCAATCGACCACTCAGCCACTTTTGGTGTTTAACCGCCGTTCATCCGATCCCCTCCTGGTTAGAGTCCTGCAACTGTTGTTGTTGCTGCTGGTTACGAAAGTGACGATATTCGGTGATCGCTCGTTCGCACAATCATCTTTCGAATTTGCGTAAAAGAGGATGATCGTTCCGGGGTGGAACCGAGGCGAAGTTAGACTCGTAGGATCCGAAGTGTCAATTTGATTTTGTTCACCGCCAGTTTCGAAGCGGACTGGCGGTGAAGCAGGCCTCTTCAACCTTCTGATGACGTAAATCTGAAATAATACCCCACTATGGAGGGAAGGAAATTATACCAGGAAGAAATTGAGATTCAAAGTAAATATTCATGATCCACTTAGAAAGGGGTTGTGTCTCGACGTTGCACCAGATGTCGTCCGCGATCATCACCATACCAGTTACCTCGATTCGAGCTCCCGAGGCAGCTGTTCTTGTGCGTAAAAACCTCCAAACGACAACCACAAAATTTCGAGTTTCTGACGCTGCTTCATTGAAATAAACGATATGTCTTCTAAGGACTCACGAATCCCTACTAGTCTTGCATCTCAAGGCGGCCCTTGTCGCTTCTCCTCACAGTTCGGTGGGCGACGGTGTCCGTTCTGGCGTTACTTTTGTACAAATACCACTGCATAGAAAATCATTTGGAATGGAACGAGAAATACAAGCCACAGTGACGATTCAAACACAAACACGTGGAGTCACGCAAAACTACACAGATGAGCGACTAGAAGAGAAACTGGCAGAAGAGATTGGGAGCCAGGAAGGCATCAATTGTAAACTTCAGGCAAGCCTAAGGAAGCATCCTCTATGACTGAAAGTAGTAGTAATACAAACGCTATTAGCAACGATCTTCAATATCGAGGTAAATGAGCGTATATGATTGATGAATATATATATACATAGATACAGACATATATATATATATATATTCTGATGAGTATAATGATTATATATACAAAGATACGTTGATACACATATGAGGAATACGATTACAAAGAAATACTGACATCACCCAGATCACTATCACCGTACACTTGAGCTAGTGCTGAGGTGGAGCATATCATCCTTATTATAATAATCATAACTTTTATCTAGTTTGTCGTCGGTCATTCGAGAGAGAGGGAGAGGGTGTTTCGAAGCATCA